TCCCCTTCACAGCGACGGCTTGCCGTGCTTGGGGGCGACCGGGGTGGGAACGCGGCGGTCGAGCTCGAAACTCGATGGCTCTGACCTACGGATAAACCGGTTCTGAAGCGTGACGTGTTGGCCTCCAGAGGGATGGAAATCCGGTTTCCAGATTCTTCAGGAGTCGATGAGCAGACTACCTAACCCGTTTTGCCGTAATTTAGGTGTTTTTCAAGTACAGATGTTAAATTCGTTTCCACGCAACCGCTGCAGTACGAGTTTCATCGCTCGCTCCGGGCAGCCGGCCGTGCAGAATCCGTGGAGAGCTCTTTTCAGCAAGGTTTGCTCTCCAGGGCGTTGCACAGCTGCGGCAGCTTACTGCGATTTGTTCCGTTTCGGGGGCCCACAATCTTAGTTTTACATGCAACGGTTTTTCTTCATCGTTCTCTCCTGAGGCCAGAATGCTGCTTCTCTCCTACACGCCTCTCACCCTAGTACATCCTTTACATCCTTTTTCGGTGTCCAATGCAGTTATTCGTAGGGTAAACTTTATGTTTTGCCTACATCTTTCTGATTAAAAAGTTGGGGTTTGAGGGAGTTCTGCAAAATCTTCAAAGCATTTTTCATCTGATTTTTGGTCTCTTTCCTGCTTCCTTCTTTCCCCCCTCTTGTATTTTGTTGTCTGTTTTTGAATGTGTGTAATTTATATTGCGTGCCGATTTTCATTCTGACAGCACTTCCTACCACAACAAGAACAAAGATTGAAATAAAGGCCCGCAGTCTGGATTCAGAAGTTGTGCAATAAACTTCAGTTCCTAGCATCTCACAAAGGGAAACTCAAGAAAAGAATAAAGAACCATTACAAATTATCTAAGCAGTTGTAATTAATGCTGATGTTTGCTCTCCTGAAGTAGACCAATTTTTCCCGTAATTGTCAGACCCAAAGACATGGACAACGCGAGCTAAAAAGTGACGTTCAGCTCCCTGTTACATGGAGCATGGTGTTCCTCCGCTGGTGTATCAGTGCCAGACACCGCCACACTTTTGTGATACAAGCTGTTATTCTCTTTTTTTTTTTCCACATGGTATATATGGTATACATGTCAATGACATTATGCAGGTCAAACTTAAAACTGAGAAAGATGCGCAAAAAGAAGGAACTCAGAGCAGTGCAGACGAACGCAGAAACTTTCCAGCTACTCGCATTTCTCAGTGATAGAACGTCCTAGAAAAATGATGGCACTTTTAAATGTTAAAAACCCAAAATACCAAGAGGTGGGTTTTTATCTCCTTAGGGAATACATTACTAGTTATCCTGTCCTATCTATGGAAATGTTATGGAAAAAGAAATGCTATCTCATGGCATACTACTGCACGCCCCTTTGATACTGTTGGCTGTAATGAATACAGTAGAAGTCCCTGCACAGTAACACAATCACTTCCTCCTGGATGTGATATGATGAAGTTTGTGTGAGCCTGCGCTCCGTTTTTAGAACTGGTTGCTAAGACGAGCTAATCTTTACAAACACCAGGAAAGATGTTACGCTACATACATACACTGTTTCAAAGTAAAAAGTTTCAAAATAAAATTTTTGCAGAATGCTCCTCGCCTTTCTTCTTCTCTGCGCATGCTGTGGTTCTGGCTCTCTGAACCTTGTATGCAGTCGGTGGTCAGTTTTTTTCTGTTAAGATAAGTATCAGGCCAAATTCTGCCTGTCTGGAGTCTAGAGCTACACACGCACATGTACTGTACCATAAGCCAATCTATAGGTTTGGGTTTGATCACTGATATTGGTGTTTTGATTACATCCTGATTTTCTGTGGCCTTGAACCTTATCATGGAATCATCAAAAAAGAATGGAATCCTCTAATCCAGCCTCATATCCTGGTGTCATCCCTGACGTGGTGTCAAACCTACAAATGCGCAGCGCTGGAAATGCATCAGCCTCCCTGGGCAATCCATACCGGAGCTTCGTGGTACTTACATTCAGTTTTTTCTTCCTAGTCTCCAGTCTAAATATGCGTTGCTGGAATTTATAACCTCTATTCCATATGGACAGCAAGAGAAATGCATTTCATACTGCTTGCCATGAGCATGCAGAAGTTTATCCGCTTCTCCTCTGCAACAGCCCTTAGTGTCCGGGAAGACCGCCGTCGCATTTCTTCTCACCTTGCTGTTCTGCACTTCCGATCCTTCTGCCTCCTGGGATCTCATCTAATCGAGTCAACTCCTTCCTGAATGGCTATTCCCCGAACTAGGTGTTCAGCTGCAGATGAAGCCTTTACCAACGCTGTGTGAAATACAAACATGATGTAGCATGTGCTGTAGGCTACCGACCTGTTCAGGGATCTCAGTGCAGCTTTCCTTTTTTTTTGTAACTAATGGCTTCGTTGAGCTGCCTGCAACTCTGATTCATTATCCAGATTTTTCCCTTCAGATTTATGAAGCCAGTTGTTTTCTCATCCTGTTTTTATATAACTGATTATTCCCGAGTACATTACCTTTCACTTCTCTTTATTGACCCACATTCATTCTTTTTAATTATTTCTATTGCTGCGATAATTTTTAATTCAAATCCTGTCCTCCAGCATACTTGTAACTACTTCCAACTTCAAGTGGCTGTCTCCGAATGTAATAAGCAGACGTTCTATGCCACTTTGTTTAACCATTTATAGCATTATAAAATATTTACAAAACACAAACAAATAGTGGTAGAATTTCACACCCATTTGGGACTTGTGTTATACTGACATATATTCAAGTCTAGTCTACTCCATTTAGCAAAAAACTGCTAGCTTATTTGGTATCCGTAGAAATGACTGTAAAGGTTACAGAGAATTAGGCCCCAGCTGCTTAATTTATCACTGTTCTCTCACCTTAATTGTTCTTCCCATCACAAACCTCAAACTAAATTATGCCCAATTAGATGCTCAATAAATGCACAAATTAAAAGCACCAAATGGACCAAATAGATGAAATAAAAGAGAACTTAAAACAGACGATTAGAAAACGGTTAGCATGGACTAACATCACACTCCTCCTATGCTTTTCTACCTCTGCCTTAGGCTGTGTCCCTACAAGATGGCAAATCGCACAAGATGAGCATATTGCAAAAACACTACAACCATGGATCTATACAAACTCACTGTAGCAGTTCAAATTTTGTTTAAAAATCTCCTAGAAGTAACTCAGTAGCAGTGAAGATTTTTCTTAGGCCAGTACTGCTTGTCCTTAGTCAGCCAACATACAGCCAAAATAGAGCCTTCATAAACGCACCACCACACGCTCTGGATAATTTGACAGACATGTGCTGCGATTTCACACTTCATCTAGATCAAATTTCATTGCCACTTGATCCAGTATTGCACATGTCCTTTGTAATGGACATGAAGCCTTCATGTTGCATGTTGCTCCCAGCACTGATCATAGCCTCCTCACTAACCTGGAAGGGACTATTGAAAGGAATTTTGAAAGAGATTATGTAAGTTCTTTGCTTTTGCATAGCATCCTATTTCATTCTACTTGGTCAGCAAGAATAAGTAACTTGCACACAAACGTTTAAAAAATTATAAAAATATTTCTAATTCCCCTACATGGAATAAACTCACTTAGTTTCTTAAATGTTCTGAGCAAAACATTGTTCTGGCTTCTTCAAGCAGTATCAAACATTGCCAGAAGAACAGCAGCATTGGCGTAGAGCTAGAGAAGCTTTTTGAACCAAACTTTGTTTTGCAGAAAAATGTGGATAGGTCAAAAGAGCATTTTAAGACCTTGCACTGAATTTGTTAAACGCTGGGAATGAAAATGATTCCCGCTTTTAAAAATTCCTCTGATCAACATGTTTTGTTCTAGAAATGTCACAAACTACCCAAAATATAGAATATATTCTTAATTCAAGACATTCTGTTTACAGCTATTTAGACTGGACATGAGGAAGCATTTCTTTACCGAGGGGGTGGTCAAACACTGGGACGGGCTTCCTGGAGAGGTGGTCGATGCCCCAAACCTGTCCGTGTTTAAGAGGCATTTGGACAATGCCCTTAACAACACGCTTTAACTTTTGGTCGGCCCTGAAGTGGTCAGGCAGCTGGACTAGATGATCCTTGTAGGCCCCTTCCAACTGAAATACTCTGTTCTGTTCTGTTCTATTCTATTCTACAAATTCATTGTGTTCATTTCTATACCAAAAGGTAAGATTTAGCCTTTTTATTTGGGGTGGGAAAAAGAGCAAGCAGTTTTACATTTTTTCTTTCACCTATTGCAGAAACTTAGTAGCCACTTGTCCCTATACTCCAAGGTAAACAATATACAGCAGTGGAATTCAGAACTGAGAATTTGCCCCGTGGTTCCCAGACAGTCTGGGCATTTTAACTCTCAGGAGGACACGCACAGTTGTACTGCTCCGTCCCAGCTCACACGAGCCCGTCCACCATTAAGAGTTCCACTGAAGTCCCTGGGGCTATTCACACAGAATGGACAATGCAATAGTATTAATGTGAATAAGGTTGGCACAATATGACCCTAACTCATCTTCATTACTGTAGGATATTGTGTATTTTTTTCTGGAGCTATAATGACTTGTGTTTTGATATATCTCACTGTCAAGACGTAGATGCTAGGCATACGTGATTTCAGAGATGCTACCTCGCATGCTATAGTCATCCACATAGCTTGCCAACAGTTACATCCATATTTTAACAAAGAGATTAACACATACTTTCTTTTGACAAATCCAGTCAGTCATGGCAATTAATTAACAATCCTCCTTCTAAATTAGTGAAAAATTTAGCCAAAACAGTCCCCTGAGACGCCCCAGTCCCACTCCACTTGGAGATCAAGCATTACTGGCTTCCCACCACGTTCAGAGAATGTGTTGAAATACAGCTGGCTTTTTAACTGAAATGTCTGTGTATATGCCTCAAAAAATAGACTGCAAAGAGGGAATGGAGCGCAGCTTTGTGTTGTATGGCATCTAGCCCCGAATTTACTCCTTCTCATTTTAACACTGCCCCCAAATTGGCCCCCTTTCTCATTTTAACACTGCCCCCTTAGTGAGGCAGGAGCAAATCTCTAGTAACTATATGAACTTCAATGATACTATTTGTTCTAATGCTGAGCTGAATTTGATCCACTCCTCTCAAGGGCACTACACATCTAATTACATGACATCTGCTGGCTTTATTATTATAAATCAAAGTGTTAAAGAAGTGTGAATTTGTTATGCTCTGAATAACAAAGAAACATATTTCTATACACCTCAGTGTTCACTGACTTACAGACTTAACTCTAGAAGCACTGAGATCAGAAAATACTATGTATCCCTTTCCTGCTTTCCCGAGGTTTCTCACACAAGATATACTGCCAGTTTTACCTTACAGTCAGAAATTGTCCTATCATGCTTGCAAAACAATCCCATACATTTTTATGTTTAAAAATCGTACTTGTGCATATTTTATGTGATTACAGTACCCTTACTTTGTCTCAGAACTGTTTTGTTTGTACCAAATAGCAATAAAGGTGACTAGATGATACTACACAGAATATTACAGTATATGAATATACTGTAAACAGCTTTGTACACTGAAAACCTCATATGTCTAAAGTCTTTGTGTTCCAGAAAACTCAACTTATATATTACCTCATATTCTCAGTGCTTTTCCATTTAAAATTTGTTTTCAATATTATTTAATGTTTACCTGGATACCTCCATAGTTAATTAGATAGAGGATTTTGCATCAGCATATTATTTGCACAAAATATTTAAAAACTTATCCCTGAATGTACTGTTTATCTTCTTTTCCCAGTCTCCCATTTACTTACATGTTTTCCAGAGCATTTACAGTGTTATCAGTTAACTGTGGCTTCTAGAATACTCCGTTTTTCAGTATCTACATCTCAATGCTTTCTCATTTAAGTTTATAGCATACTAAGTGAAACAGCTCCTAGATCTGCCACTTATTTCATGCCAGTTCACTATCCATTGTGTTTTCTGTGAGGCTGTGCAATAAACCAGATCAGGAAAAAGATCTAGCTGATCTTTTAACCCAGTTTGGATTATTTTGCAGCAAATGTGCAACCACAGCTTCAGAAGCACCAGAAGTGCAGACAGAAGGCAGGAAAGAAATATGAAAAATGTTACTCCACAAGATGGTTTGTAGTTAAATCCTAGAGAAAGAAGTTATTCTGCTGCTTTTTACTTTTCCTGGCTTCTAGGAAATTCAGAAAGAAGATTCAGGAAGAAAAACCTATGTATACAGAAAAATAAGTGGACATATGGACTACTCATGATCATTGGAATAATCTCCCCAGGGAAGTGGTGGATTCCCCAACATTGGACACTTTTAAGTTTCAGCTGGACAGGGTGCTGGGCCATCTTGTCTGGACCGTGCTTTTGCAAGAAAGGTTGGACCAGATGATCCTTGAGGTCCCTTCCAACCTGGTATTCTATGATTCAAATTGCTAGTCCATCTCCTACAGCTCCAAGCAGAAGTTACTTATTTGATTTCTAAGGGCCAAACGAAGGTTCTGTTGAAACTAATAGCAAAACTCTGAGACCTGTTTCCAAAATAGGGTAATAATCATAGAAAAAAAAGGAGAGGTTTTGAGATTTTACGATTAATAAACTTAGCAGTACTTCTACTTAATGTAACTGGGTATTTGGTCCAGCAGGATTTAGTCACACACTATTAGAACGTATTGGGTAAAATAACAATGTTAAAAAGTCTAAAGTACCAAAAGTAGTGTGTACTGTAACATAATGTTTATTTACAAAAATAAATGGTATGCTAAGCAGATCAATATAAAACCAGGACAAGTCACTACGTATCTTTTGTAGAGCTATATCCATAGCAAAAATCTGTGGCTTTTCATATTCCTATGGGTTTAATTTTAATTTTTACTTTTTTAGTTGACAAATCATTATCCCAGCCAAGATGACTAAATATGAAAATAGTAAGTTGGAATGTGTAATTCCACATCGCCATTAGATTACCAAAAAAATAGCAACGGGGAAATCATAATGGTAGGACAAGAGGGATCAGAACAGAAGTCAAGAAAGAATAAGGGATGATTAAGCCAACAATGAAGGGTATAAGAAAGCAGTTTGTTTTGCCAATAGTTACAGCCGTGGATCTTGCCTCCTTTGCTCCCTTTCTCCATCTGTCGCCCTTCCTCCCTGCCCTTCCCACAGCTCCTGACATTTTCCACATTCCGTG